AGTACACATCAGAGACAACGACTCATCCAACAGACGCGAAATTCTGAGGCCCATCTTGTGTGTTAACGAAGTCGAAATATTCTCCCAGGAGATTGAAGACAAACTTAACAGGCGTGAATGATTAGGGTCAAACGGAACACGTCCATCCTGAAATCACTGGAAACGGTCTTCGCCTCCAGCTTTGCCCGGCTTTATAGCTTATCCCTGTGCCACGACCAACTATCAGCCTATGCACGATGTAGGGTCAAAGGACTCGGTAGGCAATTGTCGACTGGTCAGTCTGTTGCCAGTTCCACTGAGGATGATGGGGAAATTCTTGGGGAACGTATCGTGAAACGTGTGCTCAGTCAGGGCTTGATTTAGCCCAACCAGCAAAAATGCCCTGCCTGTCAGGTCTGCCTGAACTTCATGGACGAGGTAACCCAAAATTAAAACCGTGGGAGCCTGTGAAAGTTTGTGACCTAGACTTCCGAAAGGCATTCGTCAGTTAAAACTAGCCTTGCGGTGACTTGGTGCTAAATGCTCTCCTTGAAAAATATTAGATATATCCGTTGTGGTATATCACTCGTTTTTTGTGCATTTTTATACATTTGTTTTTATCACACCATAAAACTCAAGTATTTTTTATTTAACGCATCTAGAAAATGTACCCCCAATATTCGTGTTTTTCGATAATTTTAGTCCATTCTGATCTTCTGCAAATCCTGTTTCTTTATCTCATAAAATCTACTGTGTTTCATAGCAAACTTAGCTCTGAAGATGAGATTACGCTTCCCGTGCGGCATAAACCCTGGAACATAGATGTCGATACCATAATGGAACGCCCCCTCAGCACAAGAACGTGCAGTCAACAGCGAAAGAGAAAACAGACATGAATGCTTATATCTTACGCCTTGAAGAACAGCTCCCGGAGCTTAGATTGTTCATCCAAAATGAACTTCAAACAACTAAGGCCGCATCGCATGCTATTAAGACATCTAAATAAGATTTTAGAAACCACGGCGTGAAGAAAATCCCCCGTTTCATCCCAAGGCAAGACCACTGTTGTTCCCCCTCCCAATTACTCCATTTTAATAATAATAATAATAAGTGTATATTCCGATTCTATGTGCACGCGTTCTCTTGCATCATTCCTGACTTGACCTTGATCACCGCGTGATCCCTCGCGTTAGTCCTTGTCTATGATTGATCGATAACTTATTCTCGTATCCATTTACCTTGAGTGTTAACCTATCGATCCCACCCTTATCATTGGTCCGGTTGCTAATTCTCCTGATCGTGCCTTACATGCATGTCTCTCGTTGTAATCCGAGAAATATACCATTATTATTATTATTATTATTGCCCTAGGACCAATAAATGCCCTACTCTTACGTGGCTTTGTGATGTCACTGTCCCAGTCCCTATGTACCCCGTCACTGGCTTTGTGGCCTCAGGCGTTGTCTTGCTCTTTGCAAATGCATAGCTATTCACGTGAACAGAATTTCTCCCTCTGGCAAACATATCATTGTCGATCTGTTTGAATTCATTTTGGATGTTCACGTTTGGTGAACAGAATCTCTTGCTTGACCTGACAGGTATTTATGTTTCCTCTATGTATTTTTGTTTGCTTGCCTTTATATAGGGTACCAACCTATTTATTTGAACCCACTTTTTGGCTGTATAGAGACTGAGTCGCACTGTTGAGGTACGTTTTCTTTGACTCTCTTAATGAACTAAATAGTAAAGTACGCATTGCGGATCAATATCATTCTGACTTCGGAGTTCGCATACTGCTATGCGTTGTTCAAATGTTTCTTGGACGCTATACAGAACGACAGTAGAATAGTCAATTATGCTCGGGTTTCGGTCGAAATAAAAGAAATCATTATGGAACCAACAAAGATATCAAAGACAGAGCCCAAACACCCACAACTGAAGAAGCTTGCGCTGGGAGGGTGGTACTATGTGGCCGTTTTCCAAAGGACCAGAACCCTGCCCAGAAGGCAAAAGCTCTCCTAGAAAATCTCACCTCCCCAAAAATACCTAACGCTTGTAGCTCAACATGCCTAGACTCATAACATAAAAAACGGGTTCTAGGACTAGTAGTGGGATTTAACCACGCATCAGTGGTTACGAACTGTATTGCACAAGTGCAGAAGATCCAGTCCAACGACAAACTGGTGAGGGGAGCGGCACAAACCCATACACACAAGGTTGCCACCGTGTTCCTCTAACGGCTGCAAAAATGGCTAACTTTTACAGAAGGCTGCGGTGAACTTCACGTGTTTTCCTGTCCCTGCAGACCCTCTTATCTCCCACGCACCAATCCTCGAAATATCCTCCGTCGCTCTAGCCTGCAGCCCCCCAAATACAAGCGTCTGCAGTGGGAAGGACGATAAGCTGGCTCTCACTGCCGACCGAAGCATCCTAGAACCTACTTCCGGGCTGACTAGAAGCAAACAAAATCCGTGTGCAGGAACAGCAAACTAACTCCCCAAACGTTTGCAAGCAGGAGGTGCATTAACCTGGAAAAGCAGCAACTTACGGAAAGGGGAATTCTCGGGAGTCCGCCGCTTCCCATTCCTCAAGTCGCTTCATCTCTACGGGCAAGTTCCCCTAAACAGCGTCTCCATCTCCCCACGCTTCCTGGAGGACCTGTGTTCTTGCCACAAAACCCTAAGCCACTGGCTCCAACGACCACCACACTCCTCTCGCTAAACCGCACACATCACCAAATGCTGCCCCCTTCCCTTCTCCCAAAGCGTTCAAAGCAGCCAAAGCTTCCAGCCCAGACCAGAAAGCGCCTCATCCTCTTCATCGGAAGAAGCAGATGAAGCGGGAAAAGCTCCAAGAGCTCCCCCGTACTCGGACCACAGGAACCCGAAACGGGTACAGGAGCTAAAACACCAAATCAAGAGCACGGGGAAGGAGACGTTTTGAAACGTAACTCCAATAGAAACCCAGACTCAAAATGCCCCCTTTATTCTAAATCTCTTGAAATTTCTTGTGAACAAGTGCTAAAATGCATGTACACCAACTGTTTAAACCTTGGTGATAAGGTACTTGAACCCAGGCAAAAAATCCATCAAGTGACTCTTCGCTCATTCTGGATAGCGACAACCAGATCTCAGACCAAATTATCGAGAACCAAGTAGATCCAAAAATAATCTANAACCAAGTCGATCCAAAAATAATCTACGGTACTATTTTGGCAATAATCGACAAATACATAAGGCAGCCATAACTCTGATAGTAAGCCTAATTCATTATCCAGCCAAATGTTACAAATATTCACAGAAAATATCTGCAGTAATAAAACTTAAATAGGAAAATGAGTGCTTCGAATTACCTTTCAGATAATTCTGGATTAATAGAAAAGTCTGCACACTTCAACAGATCAAACAAACTAATCTTGATCGTTACAGCCAAAAGGAGTTCAACATAACCGAAAGTAATGGTCATTACAACGAAGAGCGTTCAATCGAAACTGAGATCTTAATCAAATCAGAAAAAGCGTTGAATCCCATTTACATATAACCACAAAG